TCCTTAAATTACACTCTGAAAAGCAGCAAATGAATGTACCCTTTTCTGTAGTACTCTCACCTACGAGGAATGTTAATATGGTAGTAAGTTATACAAATATATCAGAAAATGCTTTTCTTAATTTTCTTTAGATTAGTCTAGATAAGGAAACAAAATTTATTTTTAAATTACATAGAGAAATCATAGACTGTAAAGAATAGGGAGAAACACTGGGTAAAAAGGCGTGCTTCTAGAATGATAATTTTTGTTTTCTTGAGTCTAGGTGAAATGACAATGGATACCATCTTGGCTCGATTGAAACTCCTGAATCCAGATGACCTTCGAGAAGAAATTGTCAAAGCTGGATTGAAGTGTGGACCCATTACAAAAACCACAAGGTTCATTTTTGAAAAAAAATTAGCTCAGGCCTTATTAGAACAAGGCAGAGTCGTGATGTCTCCTCCTCTTGTGCGTGATGTGGCAGACATGACAGCGTTCAGCCAAGAAACACACAAGAGTTTAAATTTTGCTCTAGGGAGCACCAATGACCAGGCCAGATTTTCTGAAGACAAAGATTTTGGTTGTAACGTGGGCTTGAATCCTCCCGAAGAGGATGCCGCAATGCCCAAGACTTGCTTGGCGACCTTCAGTGCACCAGTGGATGTGGACGCCCACAGAGCCGCTGTGGCTGCCTCTAAGGAACCTCTTCTGTTCTATGGAGTGTGCCCCGTGTATGAGGACGTCCCCACGAAAAATGGTAATGCAGCACACTTCTGATGTTACTTTACACAGATAGTACCACTGATATGTTTGGGTTCATCCCTGCTCTCTGAGTTTTCTTCTCTGCTTACACAGACATACCTTATTTTATTGCACTTTTCCGGCATTACTTTGTTTTTAAAAATGGACGTTTTGTGGAACCTTACGTTGAATAAGTCTTTTCAGCTTTATTTTTCCAAGAGCGCTGTAGGATAAGCACTGGACTGCTGACCACAAAAGTTGGCAGTTCAAACTTACCAGCTGCTCTTTGGAAATCCTACATAGATAGGGCCATTATGAGTCAGAAACGACTCAACGGCACTTAATAACAACCTGTGCTCACTTCGTGTTTGTCACATTTCAGTTGTTCACGCCATATTTCAGACTTTTTCAGAATGCTATTGCTCACTTTATAGATTATAATAGAGCGTTGAGATCAACTTTCTTTGCACAGGAGAACCAAAATACACATGTGCCTTGCCTTATTGTGATGTTTGCTGTATTGTATATATGAGGGGGCTTCATGAAGTTCGTAGGAAAATTCCTTTTTTCCATCAACTTGTTGAAGTCCCCTCATATTTTATTTGTGTTCTTTTCAGGAACCTTTAGCATTTTCACAACACCTCTGTTATCATGAACAATCAGTGTTCACATATGAGTCAGAGTCGACTTGATGGCTACTGGTTTCTCTCCCTCTCTGGGAACAGTGGCTCTTCTGGAGAAGGATCCTTGTCTTCCACGCAGGAGACCTGGGTTTGTTTCCCATCTATCGGTGGCGGCTTGTGTGTGGCTCTGATTCTGAATGGTTTTCAGTGGAGCTTCCAGAATAGGAAGCTCTTTTGGTCTTTTGGTCTACTTCTGAAAATTAATCTGTCAGACCCTCTGGATCATGGAGTATGCGTGGGATCATCGTGGGTTGGAGGCCAACCTCCCAGCAGCTAACACCAACAGTGCCGCCCTCTTTACACCGCCACTCCTTTCCTCTCTCTCCGTCTTACCCCGTGGTGGTAATCTTGGGACCCAAGTACCAGGTAATTATTCATTTTTGCAAACAGCAATCACATTTTACTCTTGTATTAAAATTGGTATATTTGACATACCTTGACTGCAGAGTCATTTGAACTGCAAGGTTGGTGGTTCAAGCTCACCAGCTGCTCCTTGGAAACCCTATGAGTCGAATCAACTCGATGGCACTTAACAACAACTGATGAAGTACATAAAACATAGATTACATAGATCATTACAAAGTGAATACCCATGTAAATACTACAAGACTCATAAAAAATAGAATCTTAAACAGCATCTTAAGAGTCTTTGGAGACGTGCAGAGAAGATCTCCGTCACCAATAACACAGAATACCAGGTGAAGTGGGTTCAGGGGAGAGCTCCAAAACTCTGATCCATATACGTAGGAATATTTTGAAAGTTTGAAGACTTACAGCTAGTGGAACTTGTAGCGGAAGCAAGAACTCTCGGACTTTCAAATCTGCTGGGCTCAGCAGCCCGGAGCCAACACCTTAGGTGAGACCAAACTACAAGACCAAGTGGAGGAGCAAGCAGACCTGGCACGGCCTAACGCCTGTGAGAACCTAGGAGACAAAGGTGGACAATAGGCTTTGTTTTGTTCTGATTTTTTGTGGTGTCTGTTCATTGGCCTCTCACTGTCTGTGCCTCCATTCTGGTGGTCTATTTACAGGATAAAATAGACTGCACTAAATGGAGGGAAAAGTTAATGGAATCTAAGGTAAAACTATGAGGAAACTGACAAGAAAGAACCTAGAAACCCTGAACTCAGCACAGGAAGACTCAAAGAACAAAGGAAGCAGCAGCACCACACACAAAACAAAACCCATAATGGCAGCAAATCATACCTATCGATAATTAACACTGAATATAAATAGATTAAATGCACCAGTTAAGACACTGAGGGTGGCAGAATGAGTAAGAAAACAAGATCCTTCAATATGCTGTCTGCAAGAGACACATCTTACACACAGAGACAAAAACAGATTAAAAGTCAAAGGCTGGAAAAAATATGCCAAGCTAATTGTAATAAAAATGAAACAGGAGTGGCAGTACTAATCTCTGATAAAATAAACTGTAAGGCAAAAACCAGCATAATAGATAAAGATGGACATTATCTCATGATTAAAGGGACAATTGAACAAGATGATATAACCGTAATAAATATCTATGCTCCCAGTGAAAGAGCTCCAAAATATATAAAGCAAACTCTAATAGATTTGAAGAAATAGATGAATTACAATAATACTAGGCGATTTTAATACACCGCTTTCAAAGATGGATAGAACAACTAGAAAGAAACATGGCAAAGACACAGAAGAACTAAACAACACAATCAGCCAACTAGAGTTCCTAGATGTGTACAGGGCATTCAACCCAACAACAGCACAATACGCATTCGTTTCCAGTTCGCATGGAACGTTCTCCAGAATAGACCATGTGTTAGGCCACAAAACAAACCTCCATACCAAATACTACAAAGCATCTTCTCAGACCACAGTGCTATCAACTTAGAAATCAACAATAGGAAGACCAAGGAAATAAAGTCAAATACATGAAAACTGAATCCACCCTGCTGAAAAGCAACTGGGTTGTACAAGAAATAAGACATGAACTCACAGAATTCCTAGAAACAAGCGAGAACGAAAACACAACATACCAAAATCATTGGGACTGGTGAAATCGGTGCTGAGAGGATAATTTATTGCAATGCGTACATCCAAAAAGAAGAAAGAACCAAAATTAACACATTAACACTGCATCTACAACAATTAAAAAGAGACCAACAGAGGGAACCTACAGCCACCAAAAGAAAAGAAATGATAAAGATTAGAGCAGAAATAAAAGAGATAGAAAAACTATAGAAAGAATCAACAGGACAAGTTGGTTCTTTGAAAGGATTAACAAAATTGACAAAGCATTGGCAAACCTAACAAAAGAAAAAAGGGAGAAGACACAAACAACACGCATTAGAAACCACATGGGAGATGTCACAACGGAAATAAAGGAAATCAAAAGGATAATAACAGACTACTATGAAGAGTTGTACTCCAACAAATTAAAAAACTTAGAAGACATGGATACATTTTTAGAAAAACACAACCTACCTAAACTTACACACAGTGAAGTACAAAACCTGAACAGACCCATAACAAAAGAAGAAATTGATCAGGTCATCGAAAAACTCCCAGCCAAAAGAAGTCCAGGTCCAGATGGGTTCACTGGTGAGTGCTACCAAACATTCAGGGACGAGCTGTCACCAACTCAACTCAAATTATTCCAGAAGATAGAGGAGGATGGAAAACTTCCAATACATTTTATGAAGCAAGCATAACCCTCATACCCAAACCAGAGAAGGATGTCATGAACATAGATGCAAAAATTCTCAACAAAATACTAGCCAACAGAATCCATCATCAGCACATCATAAAAATAATACATCATGATCAAGTGGAATTCTTACCAGGGATGCAAGAATGGTTCAACATCAGAAAAGCAGTGAACATAATCCACCATATAAATAAAAAAGAAAAGAACCACATGATCATATTGATTGATGCAAAAAAGGTGTTTGACAAAATCCAACATCCATTCCTGATAAAAACACTCAACATAGTAGGAATTGAAGGGAAATTCCTCAACATAATTAAGAGCATATGTGCAAAACCAACAGCCTACGTTACTCTCGATGGAGAAAAACTGAAAACCTTCCCGACACTAAAAGGAACCAGACAAGGATGCCCTTTGTCACCACTCCTATTCAGTATTGTGCTGGAACTCTTAGCAAGAGCTATATGGCAAGACAGGAAAATGAGAGACATCCAAATTGGCAAAGAGGAAGTAATATTCTATTTGCAGACGATGTGATCCTTTACATAGAAAACGCCAAAGAATCAGTAAAAAAGCTACTAGACTCATTGGAAGATTCAGCAAAAATCAGAATCCTCTATACCAATAACAACAGTGCTGAAAAGGACATTAGGAAAGCAATACCATTTACAATAGCCACCTGAAGGATGAAATATCTAGGAATAAATGTAACCAGAGAGACAAAGGACTACAAAACATTGCTACAAGAAACCAAAAGAGACCTAAAAAATGGAAGAATGTACCATACTCTTGGATAGGAAGATTTAAATTATGAAAATGTCAGTACTGCCCAAAGCAATTTACACATATAATGCAATCCCAATCCAGAATCCAATGACATTCTTCAAAGAGGTGGAAAAAACAATTACAAACTTTATATGAATAAGCAAAGCACTGCTTAAGAAGAATACGGTTGGAAACCTCTCACTCCCCGACTTCAAAATTTATTACA